CTTTTACCATTGGCAAAAAAACTACCCACTCCCATTATGATGACATAGCACCCTTCATGTTATAACATATTAAAATGTGACGAAATGTGAGATGACAATACTTGACTTCATAACACCGTTGTCCATACCGAATAGACCGAATAGGCTAAATGGAAATATCACATCCATGTGCTAACTTTGCTTCAATGGTTGGCACAAAAAGTAAAAAGGTCACATCGTTGGCACAAAAAGTAAATAAGCCGCGGAGAAATAATTATGTTTACTTGGGTATAAATTGTTCAACTGAAATAATTAATTGTGATAATTAAAAAACAGAAGGATTATATAATTGCATTAATTCATCATCATCTAAACAAATGGCGTCCCATGATTTTAAATCAGCATTGCAACTTTTCCAATTCAAATTCTACATTTGCACAGACGTACAACCTCATGCAGATGTGTATTCATTTATTGGATAAAGGCTAAATCAAACTTGTGTTCATCATGATTGGTCTGAGGTACTTGTTTCTGTTGTTTGTTGCTCACCCTGCCATGTCCAAACTATGTCTTTTAATTTGGGCTTCAATCCTTGATCCCGGAATCTTTCATATTCTATGGTGTCGCCGGCCAATTTCTTTACCTCCACCACGTGAATGGAGGGTGTTACTTGAAATATCTCAGCATCAATGGCCAATTGCCCTTTTCTCCCTTCTTTGCACCCTTGCATCCTTACTGTTCCATCTGCCATTGTCGTAATCTGAAACTGCTCCACTGAAGCCACTTCTTCCAGTTTAGACACAATCGCTGATGCTGATTCTTTGGTCGTGAAACGGGCCTCAGATTTCTTACTTGGAACATTGTTCTCAAATAAACCAGAGAGATTGAACTCTTGAGAAAGCGTAATGATATCAAAAGCATTCATACTCGTAGGCTTCAAAGAACTCAAATTAGAGGAACTTTTTGTGAGTGATCTCTCTTCGAGTCCTTTAAGATCAGTACAACTACACTTTGGACTATCTATATATTTGAACACCTCTTCGGAATCAAGAAAACCTTTTGGAATATAGTGGGTCTCAATCTTTTTGAATCCCTTTTGAAACCAAGGATTTTCCATGATTTTGTCTAACGTCATCCTTGTGTTTGGATTAGGGTCAAGAATTCTTGAAAGCAATTTCTTGACCTCAGGAGGGAACCAAGATGGACATTTGAATTCCCCTTTACTTATTTTCCTGTACATTCCCATTAAATTAGGATCATTAAATGGAAGATAACCTGCAAGCAAAACAAATAAGATCACCCCACATGACCAAATATCTGCCTTTTCGCCATCATAACCTTTCTTGTGAATAACCTCAGGTGCAACATAAGCAGGTGTTCCACATGTTGTATGCAAAAGACCATCATTCCTTTTACTATCAACCAAAGCGCTTAATCCAAAATCTGTAACTTTAAGGTTGCCAGATTCATCTAGAAGGAGGTTTTCTGGCTTTAGGTCACGATGATAGACACCTCGGCTATGGCAATAATCAACAGCTGCGATTAATTGTTGGAAATATTTTCTAGCGGCTTCCTCTTTCAACCTCCCTTTTGCAATCTTATTGAAAAGCTCACCACCTTTAACATATTCCATGGCAAAATAAATCTTAGTCTTGCTAGCCATGACCTCATAAAGTTGAACAACATTTGGATGCCTAACAAGCCTCATTGTAGAGATTTCTCGTTTGATTTGGTCAATCAAGTTGTTTTCCATAACCTTACCTTTCTCAATCACCTTCACTGCAACACTTTTTTTGGTTTTCAGTTTTCGGGCATGATAGACCTTTGCAAATGTGCCCTGTCCGAGCAATTTTCCTATTTCGTATCGTTGCATCAAAATCTTCTTGTTCTCCATGTTTAAGCTGATTTTAATTCCTTCCTTTCAGATTTATCAAAATCCAAAAGATTAGAAACAAAGAAGATATATCAAGACTCACAAGACATTCATGGTTTGATCAACCATGAATGGATGAGTCAAGGGGCTACAAGGAATTAGGACCTTGCCTCCATAGGAAGAGGTGCTAAAGAAGATATTTCCCCTTGAGAGAAGCACAACGAAAGAAAAAGAATTAGTGAGATATAACAAATAGTGGAACACAAGGTATAGCCTCATCAATCTATCGGAATTGGGTGGCTAAATTACAAATGATTGGTTGAGATTGTGTCATTACGAGTGATTATTGAATTATGCTTACTATTTATAGAAAGATACATTTTTAGTGGAATAGTTTTAAGTTTTTTTTTTTCGTTGTGGATGATTGTTACCTGTTAGATTAATTAATGTGTAGAAACAAACAACTAATGTAGAGATTATTGTAGCCAGGAGAAAATGAGGAGTATGTGGTTGTGAAAATTAGGGCTTCATATACAAACTATATAAATAATGTATTTGCACAACGTATTATAAATCTAACTAATTTGATTAATATATTTCTGTTCTTCACGATTTTGATATTTTTTGTCGAAAATGTAATGTGTTAAACAGTACTCAACTTTCTAACATAACAAATAAGTAATTCCTCAGTAAAAATTTTCTTGTAGTAAATTTCAAAAAATATAGATTTATCGAATAGGTTAACCTTAACCCTAAAAATTGATTCTCAAATTGGTATATGAGTTCTCATACATTCATATATTTCTGGACAGCACTTCTCATACGTTTGTGTCTTTAGTACGTAATTAATCTGAAGGAATAATACCAAGTAACTTTCGGTATAAAATAAATTATCGTCCCGATTGAATAATGGCTTGTTAATTTTAAGAAATAAATTGTAAAGTTTTAATTAAATTTAGATATGTTAATAATATCAACTTCAGTGATTTAGTTAGAGCTACATTGGCCAAAAAAAATTCAAAAAAGAAACCCATTAATCATATCATATACTTAATAAAATACTGAATAAAATATAAGCGCAAAGTTTGAATTTCTTTGAGTTATACTAGACAAAACTTCAATCAGTTAAGAGAGTCCTGATTGGCCGACGCACAACATCTTAAAAGAACATCAACTTAGATCTCATTTATTTAGTGTACGTTTCAACCAATTAGATTTTGATTGTTTATGGCAAAAATATCTGCCAACGGACAGCAGTTTGTAAACCAGTCATTTGTTGAGCAGTTAATGCTGAAAACGATGCAAGGATCATCATTGACCAAAACAAAGAAGGGCAAGTTGAGAACCAGGTGGAGCCAACGTTACGTGTGGGACAACTACGGGGTCCCAAAGAGGAAGGAAGATAGGTTGTGGTAGTTTCATATCAGTTGGATAATGAGCATCATATCCGTGGATTGGATCATAATATTATCCACTTATCTAATTTTGAGTTTTACCCCTATGTGATTGGCTCTGACGGTTTCCGGAATAGTGGTGGCGGAGGTATGTTTGTCAATTGTTTTCCGATTGGATGTATGCTAGAATACAAATAATTAATTATTAGTATTTTATTAGGGTTTAATGGGAACCATAATTCACTATGTACTCATGGTGAGGGTTCCCAGTTATATACCAACACATAATACGACTCTCTTCCTAGCGAACCCCTAATTGATCAAAAGCCATTAGGACGTGTTGGAAGAAGACTTGGCACTACTAGAAAATCTGATTATACCTACGGGCTACGGCACAATCCATAGGTATTCCGTAGGTATAGGGCGATACATACGGAATTGCGACGGAAAATGGGCCGTAGCATAAACGCTCGTGGGTAAATATTTCTGACGGAATAGCTACAAAATAGCTATGGAATACCGACAAAATTATTCGTCGGTAAATTACCGACGAAATAGCTACGGATTACCGACGGGCCCCACTTTGACTAACATTGACTTTATCACCTATGGATTTCCGACGGCCCACATAACCGATGGAATTCCGTCAGTAAATGTCTTTTTTTTTTAAAATAGTATTTAAAAAAAACAATTAATTATGGCCAAAATGAAGTAAAAGTTCATTATATTAAACTACAAATGTCAAATACATTACTAAATGTTTAATATATTACTAAAAACAACATTTTCCAAAAATAAATATTACAATAAACATCATCTATACATTCAAAGTGTCAATAACATTACTAAGTGTTTAAAACATAAAAACTAAGAATCACTTGGTGGTTAATGAATTCTCACATAAAAACCGTCAATTGCTTTTCAAGTTGTGTTTGTCTTCGTTGCATTTCTACTTGTAATGTCTTTGAACTCATTCCTGCAACTCCTACACCTGGAAAATGGTAAGATAAACATATATAATTAGTAAATGTACTTTATTTTTAAACCACGATAGCAACGTACTTTACTTTTAGATAATAATAGCAATGTATGTTACTTTTAATCCATTATAGGATAATAAAAATCAAAACACATTGCCCACATTGGTAAAAAAGAGAAAGTATGTTGTTATTTCCTGCAGTTTACTGAAAATAAATAACTTTCAATTAAAAGTACAATGCTATTTCTTACATTTTACAAGTATGTTGTTTCTAAAATATAGAAAATAACATTATACAAGCATGTGGTAGACAAACAAAAAGATAAGAAGGAAAAAGAAAACACGAAGAACAGGCACCAAGAAGATAAGAAAATGATTGGAGAAAGAAAAAAGGATTCTTTAATCTGTGCAATTTGATTACTTAAAACTTGAGCGGACAAACAAAAAGATGAGCTTAGAATCATGAAAACAAAAAGAGCAAATTTATTTATGGGGAAACATCGAAATGGTGAAAAAAATTGAGTGTTAAATGACAAATAAACCTACAATCATATTTATACAGTTAAATACATCAAAGAACTTCTATTTTTTTGTTTATTACAACATTATACTTTCATCTCTTCATCTTCCAACATTGTTTTATGTAAGACATACCTTGTTGGATTGATTTCCAAAGTATAATACTAGTGATGGATAAGCAATGTTGTCAATGTATGCACAAAAAACATAAACAAGCTTGGTTATCACAGAAATGAACTCATAAACAACTATGTGGATGTATGAATCATAATTATAGCTAAAAACAACCTCATAAAACCATAATTTACATAAGACATGCATATAAATCATAATTTACACAATCATCTTTCAACCAAAACTCCAAAAATGAAAAAATAATAAAAAGAAATTATAGAAAAAATGGAACCATATCATGTCATAGAGCAAAAACAAGAAGAAGACATGTTAGAATCATACAAAAAAACGTAAATTACACAAGACAACCTCAGAAATCATAACTAAAAATCTGATATCAAAGAATGTTAAAAAGAGGAGGATTCAAGAGTTCTTACTTGTGTCTTCTTTGTGTGACGAAGGAGTCTACAGTGGGTGTCGTCGGCTTCAGCTGTTTATTTTGCCAGAGTCCTGTGTCGTGCCGCCGGTGGTAGATGTTGAATCGATTATGGCAATGGCAGATGAGAAAGCCGAAGAAGAAAGAGGGGCGACGTAAGAGATGGGGAAAAGGAAGCGAAGGGGATGGCTGTAATCGAGAGAGATACCGAGAGAAAAACCTAGGAATGATGAAGATTTCTGGCCCAGCTTCGGTGGTGGAGCAGTAACAGAGACGTTTTCCTCAATCGATGGCGGCGGAGAGTTGGACCGACGAGGGTTACAAGCGACGGCAAAACGAAGGTGAAGCGCTTCCATCGATTTGGGGAGATCATGAAAGATCAATTTAGGGCTAATTGTGATTTATTTTCCGGGGAAACGAAAAATTAAAACCTAGCGAATGTTTGAGGGCGGGTAATTTGTCTTTTTCAATCGTAGGAAACTACCTACGGATTTCCGACGGAAACAAAATAATCAAAATATTATTTTTAAAATTATTATTATTATTATTATTATTATTATTATTATTATTATTATTATTTCGTATTTTTCCTATTTAGAAAATGTCTTTTTTCTTCAAATTTATGTTAAAAATATATATATGTATATATAGGCGTGTATATGAATGTTTATGTATGTGTATGTATATATGTATGTGTATGTATATATGTATGTGTGTATGTATATAGTGCATACAACCGTATACACCATCAAGATGTGTACTTGTATGCATATGTGTATGTGTATGTGTATGTATATGAATGTGTATGTGTATTTGTATGTGTATGTGTGTATGAACATGTATGTGTATACGTATGTGAATCTCTATGTTTATTTGAATGAGTGTATGTGTGTATGTGAATATATGTATGTGTACAGGTGTATGTGTTTGTATATGAATATGTATGTATATAAATTGGCACTAGAATGTTTGTAACATCCAAAAATCGAGACCAAAAATTTTTGTTTTAATTATAATGCTTATAAAATTTGGTTGACGAAAATATTGTTGATATCACATTAGTTCATAAACCATAGTCACATGTCTCAAAACCCATAGTGTCAAATAGTAATAATGTCAGAGTACAATCCCAGAATTCTAAAATGCGGAATCATGTGTTTGCGATGCGTTGCTACCCTGCCGGCTCCTTCCCCTTAGACGAAGAGGTACCTGAAACCAAAACTGAAAACTGTAAGCACAAAGCTTAGTGAGTTCCCCCATCATACCACATACCGAACAACATACATACTGTCGGGCAATTCTGGGGAGCCCGACCAACCCATGTCAAGCAGTTCTGGGGTGCTGACCAACCCGTGTCAAGCAGTTCTGGGGTGCTGACCAACCCATGTCAAGAAGTTCTGGGGTGCTGACCTACCCTCCGGTCTATCTCAACCGGCAACGGGGACTATTTCACCCCCTACTACTAGCAACTCATAATCATACTATCATAATCATGCTGTCATAATCATACTGTCAAGCATTCTTGGGGTACTGACCTACCCTTCGGTCCTAACGACCGAGGCGGGGGACTATTCCCTCCTACTACCGCTATCACATACAACATATCATACTGGCACATAAAGCACATCTAATAATAGCAACCTAGATAATTATCACACGGACAATCATCTAACGACAATCCCTGCTGGTGGGCCGGCATTGTGGTCGTAGACCCACCTCTACTGGAAGGTAACT